CTCTCGGGAGCCGCCAGCCACTGACGACTTCCCTTCATCACCCTGATGCTTTGTTTTCTTAACCAGAGTGTTCTGAAGACCAGAGCCCTACACACAGGGCTTCACTTCCGCAAAGCTCAAGCAAGTGTCTGAGTCCGTCCCAAACCACACTGGTGAGAAACTCATCAAGCCACTTACCTCGTATTCCAAACGAGAGCGTCTTAAAGTGCAACAAGATGAGAAGAGCAAGTCAGCACCAAGAAGAACTACTAGCAGAGGAGGAAACGAGCCCAGGGACGGGGGTGGCCAGCGGGCTCCTGACCCCACCACCGTGGGCGGCTCCAGGCAAGGAACCCAACACTGACCCGGCAATGCCAATACCACGAGAGAAACTATCAGGAAAACCAGAAAGCCTGTCCCACGACAGGAAGGAGGCCAGCACCTCCCGCCTCACGGCTCCTGTCGCCCCACTCTGATCTTTGCCCCGGGGTCAGCCTTACCCAGCCACGCTGCTTAAGTTTCCAGCAAATTTAAAAATCCCACAAGACTCCCAAATTTGGGGGAGGGAGCAGGGTGAGGAACGGTGTTCTGTCGCGTCAATGGCAACAACTCCTGGGGCACCGCGGGGCCCCAGGCCAGGGTGGCTGCAGTCGGTGTGGCCGCGGGCCCACGCGGGCATCGAGGAAACCAGACACGCTTCCCCGTCTCACAGACTCAAGTCTTTTGCAACATCCATGCTCCCGTGAAGCGGAGACTGAAGGAGGCCACCTTGGAGAGGACCGTCGGGGCCACCCAGACAGCACGCGGTCAGACCGTGCACGCCCCCCCGGCAGGCCCGGGGCCGCCACGCTTACCTCTGAGGGGGAATGTGGGGCGCGCACACGGGCGGCAGGGCCGCACGGGGCTCGCGGAGCGTCGTCCTGGGCTTCTTCGCGTTCTTCCTGACCTTGGACGCGGACCTGACCGTCTTGGCTGAGCTCTCCTTCCGGCAGACGCCGTTTTTCACCTCGACATCCCCGTAAATGTTCAGGGGCCTCCGGGTGCAGCCCGGGGGCGTGTGGACGTCACAGTATGCAGTCTTCCTTACAGAGAAGGTGGCAGCACCGCCGGCCAGCTCCTTCACGGGCTCCATCTTCATGTAGAGGCCGGCCCGCTGGGCGCACGTCACGTGGAAGGCGGTATAGCAGTTGGCCTTGTGGCACTGGATGCAGGCGCCCACGCCCTTCTGCTTGCAGAGGTAGCACGTCAGCTTCCAGCGGGCGGGGGGAATGTTCCGCACGCCGTCGATGGGCTCGATGAACACCGTGTTGGCAAAGCCGACCTCGGGGATCCACAGGGCACACACCACGTGGCCCCAGCGGTCATCGTCCGTCTTCTTGAAGGCGCCGCCCTTGTTGGGGCACAGCACGCAGTCAGCTGGCCGGGCCCGGGACTGCAGGCAGTGGCGGCAGAGCCACTGGCCCTCGGGGATATAGGGCACGCCGTAGCACTCCTGGTGCACCGCCAGGTTGCACATGTCGCAGAAGAGGATGGCGTTGCTGTTCTGGCACTCGCCGTCCATGCACACGCAGCACACGGCGTCCTCGTCAATCAGGCACTGTTGCTCCCCTTGCTTCTGCTTCTCGCAGTGCGACGCCTTCTCAAAGCGGTCCATCAGGAACTCGAACGCGCCCTGCGACACGGCCGCCACGCAGTCGCCCCTGCGCTTCTCGTTGACGATCTCCAGCCAGGCATAGTCCTCCTCGTCCATGTCGTACTCCACCTCATCGTCCAGCTCCTCGGCCGACTTCTCCACGAACTTGTAGTATACGGGAGGCCGCCGGGGCGCCGCCGGGGGGCTGTACTCCACCACGCGCACCTTGGGCTCGGGGAGCGCGCTGGCCGGGGTGGGGGCACCATGCGCGCTGGGCGGGGCTTCATTTTTCTTCTTGACTCTGTTGTTCTTGTGCCGCTTAGTTCTCAGGCACACAGGCGGCCTCTCGCTGTTTTCTTTGTTGCTGTTGCACTCGCTCATCTCCTGAGCAGTGAGGTCATCTTCTAATATGATCTCCAGAGGGTCGAAAATACTGATCCTGTGCAGGCGGCCCTCGATCTCGATCTCCACCATCCTCTGCGCTTGCGCGTAGGTCAGCGTCTCTCGCGTGGGGGAGTGCTTAGTGCTGCCGGGGGAGGAAGGGTGCCTCGCTGCAGCGCGATGACCTCGGCCTTTCCTCCTCATTTGGTACTGACTCCCTGAAACGGACGCAGAGGACACGTTAACTCCACACAGAGGACACGAGAGGCGAAAGCCACTAGGTACGCTTGGGCAGACCTAAGCAACTCGTGCTAAATCGAAACAAAACTCCCAGCAAACCTATCTCTGAGGTTTCCAAAATCACTCATCCCGGGACTCACAATGGTATCTCAACAACCTTCAACAGCCCGTTGCCCCGAGGCTGCCCCTCCCCAGGGACTCCCGGGACCAGAGGAGAGGGCAGGCGGTGAAGAGGGGCTCCCAAAGGCACACGCGATGACAAGTCCTTCCAGGATGCTGACGCCCACTGCTCGCCAGTCACCTTGGATCCACAGGTCACCGAGCCGACTGCCACATCCCTCACAAGCAGAGGTCGCAGCCCTGAGCTCAGGATAGCGCACACACAGGGCTGGATCCCGGCAGGCTCTGGCCCCGGCTCCCCCCTACTGCTGCCCAGGAGAGAGCCCTGAGCCCCGAAGTGGAGGTCCCATCAGCACCCCTAGGGAGCCTGGAAGCCTCAGCAGCCTGACCACAGCCCCGTCCATCCTGTCGACGAATGCGTCCTCCACAACCGTGTTAGGGCACAGGGCCACCAACCACTCCAGGGCTCAAGAGGGAAGCCCCGTACTGGCCTGGGGGCAGGCTTCACCCCTGGGAGGCCTCCACCCAGCCTCGACAGGGCTCAGGAGTGGCCACCACGAAAAGCCCCCACGGGCCAGCCACCTGCCCTGCCCCCTCGGAGCACTTCTCAGCTGCTGGCTTGACCACGGTGCCGGGCCAGCCTCCTGGAGGGCCCACCCCGAAAAGCCCCCCCGGGCCAGCCACCTGCCCTGCCCCCTCGGAGCACTTCTCAGCTGCTGGCTTGACCACGGTGCCGGGCCAGCCTCCTGCCACAGCAAGGGCCACCCCAAGACCCCCTGCGCCACCCGCAGAGGCGCCCCCAGCCCCCCCATTCTCAGGTGCCAGCACAGGCTCAGGTGCCCGAAATCTGGGCCACAGAGACTTATGAGCATTTGCTCTTTTCAGACGTCTGCCGTCTGTCACCAACTGCGTCTACTACTGGTCTCACTCGTGTGATGACTCCTGACTCTGGACCACTGCCCGTCAAGCAGGGTGGCACTTCAGGAACTGATGACAAGGACCCCTCCTCCCTCCAAAAGACCACATTTTACTGACAGGAAGCGGAGTAACATTTAAGAGACTGGCTGACAACATCCCAAGGTGGAGCCCAAGGCCCACCACGGGATGGGGCCCCGAGGAGCCGGCACGGGGCACCTCCGCACAGCGACCCACCTGGCCTCCAGGAAAAGCCCTCCCAGGGCCAGCTTCCCCGTCTCAAACCCGAGCGGAAACCCCAGCGGACCCCAAAAACGCACTTTTTAAGAGAGACCCTTCCGATTGTGGTTTTCTCTTCTGTCAAACAGAAATCCACGTTTTACATGAAATTTGACAGGAATCCCCTACAAAGAGAAGCACGGAAAACAGCATGAGCAGCCAACCCGTCGCTCACCTGCATCTCAGGGGTCTCCAGGGGCCCACGCAGCCCTGGACTCCCGTTGTGCGGTCAGCCAAGCCGCTGCCCAGCTAGCCCTGGCCCTGCCATCCCTTCTGGGGGAGAGGGGCACAGCCCCCCCACTGTCAGCACCGCAGCCTGCACGGAGGGGACGCCGGTGCGCCAGGGCACAGCGCACAGCTTCAGGGGTCCTTACTGGGGTGGGGCAGAAGCGACAGTCGGTTACTCAGCAGATGCAAAGTGAACGTGTAATTTTCTCCTCGGAAGCAGAGAACCAACAGTACTAAGCAAAATCGGCCCTTCAAAACCCACGCTCTCCCAGAGGGCACTGAAGCTCTGGACACTTAGTACCCGGAGAACAGCACTTAACGGTCGTGCAGCTCCGCAACTTGAAAGCTAGATGGTGACAGGGAAAGGAGGCGCGGGTCACTCTGCGGACCACCTCACCCGGCCATCACTTCCCGATCTCTGGCCCTCGGGCTCCACCCACACTTGGCCCTTCCGCGCGGGGACAAGCGTACCCACGAGGAGGCGATCAACAGCCTCTCCAGACCCTACTGATAACTGCACCTTGAAAAACCATGTGGCCATAAGAGAGGCAGTCGGCACCCAGGGCCGGCTCACCTCAATCAGTGCCTTTCCCGCCTGGCTTTGGACAAGCCACTTACACCCTCGTGCAGGGACGGGACTGCAGGCAGGTGAGGGCACGCAGCGCCCTCCACCCACGACCCTTCCCGGGCGGTGGGCGCCTTCTCCACGGGGGCGCGGCCTTTCGTCAAAAGTCCACTGCGCACCCGCAGCGAGCGCGTCCTCCGCAAATTACACCTCAATCAAGTGACTTCTTCCAAAGGGCCCCGGAGTCCACCACCGGCTCTCAGCGCGGGAGCGGGGGCGGAGGGGGCGGCGGCCCGGGTCCGCGCGCCCCTCGAGTCTTTCAAACGCGGCCCTGGAACGGGGAGTTTCCCGTCCGGGCTCAAAGTGCCCAGAGCGTCCGTTACATAACGCGACCCTCGGGCAAACGCTCGGCCGGCGGACCCGAGAGTCAGGCCCTCTCCCTTCTCGCCGGGCGGCCGGGCGGAAGGCGCGGCGGGCGGGACGGGCCCCAGCGACCAGACAGCCCGCACTCCCTCCCCGTCCGGCTTCCCGCCTGCCAACCTAGCCTCCCTCCCCGTCGGCCTCCCCGGCCTTCCAGCCTCCCGGCCCGGCCTCCAGGCCTCCCCACCGGCCGGCCTCCCTCCCTCCCGGCCGCCCAGCCTCCCAACCCGACCCGGCCGCCCGGCCCGGCCTTCCAGCCTCCCGGTCCGGCCTCCCCGCCTCGACAGCCCGGCCTCC